TCGGGCAGCTGTTTCACGTGGCTGGGAGGGAGGAGGGGGAATGCGGGCGCTCAGGGGAGGGGGCGGAGTTGGGGCAGGGAAGGGGCGGAATTGGGGCAGGGCCAGGGCCCTGTGGAGTGTCCTCTTTTTTTAATTTTTAAATATGGTAACCCTAGCATTACATGCAAGAAAGTGTCTGAACTTTAATATTTCCCCCACTCATCTCTCTTAAGAAAACAATGGGGGAATCACAATCAATGTAATCTGCAACTGAGTTTATAAATTATACAAATAGAAAATTTTAGGACTCAGTGCAGTAAATGGCAAAAGGAATCTAGTTCTCCTTTCAGCTCACGTGGAGCAAGTTACATTCAGCATTAATAAGCTACTCATATAAATCCTCCATGCAACAATGGGAGAAGGTATTTACATAGCAACTTTAATCTAAATGGATACCAGAAAACTTTACAACCCTTTACTATCTAGTATCCTACAAATAATTTCTACAGCCACTAACATGGACCCAACTTTTGGGCTGAAAAACAGCCCTGTTAAACAGAATATTGCAATACTACAAAACAATCTGACAGAAAGTGAAGACTATTGGAAATTACAAGGGTAATTGAAATAGGTGGTATGTAATTACCCAAGCTGGACTTTGGCCAGAGCAATAAGGCCCACATCTCTGCTTTGGTAAAGTATACTATGGTACTTTTAATGACAAGAACTGATTATGACTTCAGTTTGATGCCTCCTTTGAAAGACTGAATTTACAGCAGTAAAGTGCCCTCTTGTGCTGTGCTGGGGCATTGGTTATGTGCTGCTTTAGGGAAAAAATGCCACCAACTGAATCAGCCACAGTACTTCTTGCAGCAACTTGAGTTTTTCCTAGATGTCTCAGCCAAATTCTGACCTGGTTTTATGCTGCTTAACTTGTGAGACTGAACAAAATTACAGCTTGAAGTAGTCTGACTGCATCCAAGACCTGAATTTACATTTAGCTAGTTCTTCCTCTCCTCCCCCACCCCACGCATCTCAAGATCCCAAAGTCCTCAGCCAGCTATTCTGAGAGGAGTCGCTTTATCTATCATGGAAATGAAGCCACATCTGACGTGGAAAGTGGCAGCTATTTAGCTGCAGCCAGTAGGTTAGGACAGGAAGTGAAGACGACTGCCTCTGATCTAACATTTAGTAAAAAGGGAGATTCTAAGCAAGATTTAATAACGTAGGATTAATAATAAATGATGTCTCTGGGGGGAAAAGTGCAATATGTGGTAGATTAGAAGTACTGGCAGAGGGTTGATAGCAAATAGAATTGGTTAAAAAATTAGAGGAAAACCTCATGAAACCTCATTCCCTGACAGGCTGATTATTTTCTTTATAAAAACATTTACTACTAAGAATCCTGAAAAAATTCAGGGGGATGGACTAACTCTGAGCCCATTTTATGCCACAACAGCCTTACAAAGTATAGACTTCACGAGTCTCTTTTTACACTTATGTTGTCTTTTGCCAACGATTTTAAAGATCAGACCCCAAAACCACAGCAACTGCTATCACTGTCTCCCACCTCTCCTTTATTTCTTATGTGTTGCTTTCTCCCATTACACAGCAGTCCACTGTTTATTAGAATACTGTCATTGTTCTTAAAAGCTCCTTCTAGAAATGTCAATTTTCAATTATTATTTGAGCCTCTTTAGTTCATTTCCACAAAATACTCCAGTATCATCTAAATGCAAAGCCTGATTTGCTCCTGGCGATACTAGTATATTTGTTCTAAATTTGGAAAAATAATGAGTGAGATATTTTCCTCTCTATTTTTATGAAACTATTAGATCCTCTCATAATAAATGTTGGGGGGGGGGGAGGGTTAAACAGGAGATAGTAGATTTATGATGGTTTAAAGGTGCCTTTTGGCTCTTTCAAATTTGGCCAGAGTCAGTAGTACATGAAAATCATTACCAGCCAACAGCTGTTTGGTGACCTATGTGCACTAACTTATTGATCTCTGTACAGTTCCTCTTGGATAGGTGTTCACATCACCTATGTTGTTGTCAGTCTTGGCAGAGAGCCCAAGAACTGAATACGCATGGAGACTACTCTACCCTGTCATCTGTAGAGGTAGTCTCTTCAAGTCAGGGTTACCCTTGCAGAGCAATGCTGGGAAGCGTGTGTTGCTTCTTCCCAGGATGTGTTTTTTCTGTGGAAAAATACAAGATTTCAAGTGCCCATAGCTTTCAAGCCTTCCACATAGCTTCCCAAACAGTTAAGTTTCAACAAGCACAAGTTTAGACTCTGAAGTCTTCAAAAAGATCAGCTGCTTCTTCATGGAAGCACTAAATGTCACTGCACAGGCTAAATCAGCCATCTCACTCATAAAAGAAAACAACTCAAAAACCACAGGAATGTAACTATCTTCAAACAGCAGCTAAAGTCAATGTTCATCAGAAGCTGAAAATGTCCTAACCACAAACTGTTCTTGAATAAAGTTCAAGATCAAAAAGGTTTCTTTTTATTTTACTTTGTCTTTAAAACTCATGATCCAAAACTCGAACGATCCACAAGCCTTGGAAATGTATCTAATATAAGCTGCCTTTCAAAACTCACACAGGCGTATTCTCAACAGGGCATCAACACTAAGTCATGGTTTAGTATACACCTCTTCCTCAATATAACGCTGTCCTCGGGAGCCAAAAAGTCTTTCCGCGTTATAGGTGAAACTGTGTTATATCGAACTTGCTTTGATCCACCAGAGTGCACAGCCCCGCCCCCTCCCCGGAACGCTGCTTTACCGTGTTATATCCGAATTTGTGTTATATTGGGTCGCGTTATATCGGGGTAGAGGTGTACTACATCAGAGAGGAAACTGAAGAGAGATTTCCTAAACTCCATCTCCTTTGCAGAAATTGATCCAATTTGGATCATCATACGGTCTCATTTCTTGTTTTCATAAGATGTTACATAATTAAAGCGTTTGATTATTATCTAGCTCTATATTATATCTTTGTATTAGGCTGAAGTATCTGGCTTGTTTTGTCTGCTATTACTATGTGAAATTCTTCAATAAAAATTAATGTAAATATAAAATGCACTTTTTATATGGAAAATCATTTGTTAAAATATTGACTACAAAAGGCACAAGATTTTTTTTTTGATTTTTTTTTAAAGGGAGCCTAAAATTGGTATTCTAAGTGCATATTTGACAGCAGTGGGAGCTGGCAACTGCTTAGCACTTTTGTGCCCAAATATTAATGTAGGAGGCTCCTACTTTTGCAGGCGGGGAGGAAAAAGTCCAGATTTTTTTTAATTAGAGAAAAAACAATTAATGTGCTGAGACGGGGAAGTCCTGGGCTTGGGATCCACCTTAAGATTTTGATCTCCCATGCACTGGTATAAAGATACCTTTTGTATCTGAGAACTTTACACACAAAAAGTAATAGTACAGAATGCCATATTTGTAAGCTGGACATAAGAGTTGTTTTCTAAAATAGGTTAGTTTTTCACTTAGAATTAAGCTCAATGTGACTGACACAGTATGGACAGCTAGAGTGGTCTAATTGCAATTGGATAAATTACATTCTATCCCCTTGAGTTCTCTCCGCGGTTTAGATTAGATACAGTAATCTGTTTCTCACTTCCTATGTTATACCACTGTTAGGGTCCTACCAAATTCACGCCATGAAAAACATGTCATGGACCGTGAAATCTGGTCTTTTGTGTGCTTTTACCCTATATTACACAGATTTCATGAGGGAGACGAGCATTTCTCAAATTGGGGTTCCTGACCCAAAAGGAAGTTGTAGGGGAGTAAGGTTATTTTAGAGGGATTGCGGTATTGCCACCCTTATTTCTACGTTGCCTTCAGAGCTGGGCAGCTGGACGGCAGCTCTGAAGGCAGCGCCCTGCCAGCAGCAGTTCAGAAATAAGGGTGGCAATATCGTACCATGCCAACCTTACTTCTGCGCTGCTGCTGGTGGTGGCTCTGCCTTCAGAGCTGGGATCCTGGCCAGCAGCCACCGCTCTTTATCTGTCCAGTTCTGAAGGCAGTTCTGCCCCCCACCAGCAGAGAAGAAGTAAGGGTAACCGTACCGCAATCCCCCCTACAATAACCTTGCAATTCCCCCAACAACTCCTTTTTGGGTCAGGACCCGTACAATTACAACACCGTGAAATTTCAAATTTAAATAGCTGAAATCATGAAATTTATTATTTAAAAAAATCCTATGACCATGAAATTGACCAAAATGAACCATGAATTTGGTAGGGCCCTAGCCATTGTGTAGCTTTTCTGTGTGCGATTTAACAGCTATCACGTTCCACCCCAGAAGTGGCTGTATTACAGTGATAGGTGAAGGGAATCCTGTTTATGCACAGTTTTTAGTTTCTGAAGCCGTTTTGTTCCTGTTCTAACTTTCTGTAGAAGTCCTATTTAGTAAATTCTTGGGTTTGGAAGTAAAACAGAAAACATTCTGAATTATAACATGAATACCCAACTAAAAGTAGAAGTACACTACAACACAACATGACACAGCAGTTTTAAATGTTCTTGATAGCAATGAAAGATCCACAGATAAAACATAACAGCCATCAGTCTCGATAATGCAAAGATAAAATACCTGTTATTTTAATGTTACAAGGAAGTCCAAATGGATACTTTCCTACAATTCCAACTTTACCATTCCAGTTGCATTTGCATCCCAAATCAAATTGCTGCTCTGTGAACTAAAATAATGCAAAACAAATTGGTTTTATTGATGTACACATTTGCTGTTCAGTTTTACTGCACTACTCAAATGGTCCATTTAAACCTAAAATCTTGTTTTCTAAGTACTAGTAGATTTTTTTTTGGCTGAAAGAATTTAAATTCACTTACAACTGATATTTAAAAATTTAAATCTGGGAATATTATTCCTAAACTTTCTCTGATTCCATTTCATATCAAGGAGTCTTCCTTGCCCATTGGTTTCCAACCTCAATACTTCTTCCTGTTACGACAGACATGACATGTAGCAGTCTGTAGATACTTGTTTTGGTAAGCTGTCTCTATGTGGTGTCTGAGTAAGATCGCTATTATGTCAGTACCCACGCTACGTACATTTTACAATTTGAGAATAATGCTATTAGAATTGTTTGGTAAGGTATTGTGCCCATTAATACCTTAGACTGTAATTTTCTTAGAGCATGGATTCTAACCTTTGTTTGGTGCATTTCTCCTATAATAAAGTGTCATATTCATATACAGTGCTAAATTAATAATAATCAGTTTCCTCAAAGTATAGTAGGTTGTGTGTCAAATTCCATGCTCCATTACCTGCTCAGAGAGAGACTGGAAGCTATAGAGCCTGACCAGACCCATGCTGTACATCACAATCAGCATTCCATGAGAGAGAGCGACATCTGTTACATTGTTCCCAAATATCTGGCTCAGGGAAAAGAAAATATTCCATCAGGAAAGAGATCATTAAAAAGAAAATGTAAAACACTAAGGCTGCTTGACATAGAAATTGACTCGCTTTGTTTTACAGTCTCATTTCCTGCTACACTCTTCTCCAAAATTGCTGACAGATGTTTTCTTTTAGATGGTTTTGCAAATCAGCTATTCTTTTGTACTTCAATAATAAGACTTTGCACTTCTGTACCATCTGAAGTCAGAGAATCTTTACCGACATTCATTCTCAACATGCCTCTAAAACAGGTAACCTGTTACCCTGTTTTTACAAATTCACACAGTGATGAAGTTGGTTAAGGGTACATGATAAGTCAGTAGCAGAGCGGGAAATACAATCTTTTAATCCTGGTTTGCTGCTATAACTGGAGGCAAGTGTTCATTCTGCTCAGGGATCCAGGACAGCACATAGCTGAAAAGTTAATTATGTTGCTAATGCATCAGTCAGGATACAATATTGGATGTTTAAGCTCTGAACCTGAACCCAAGTTAGATAGGTCAGTGGAGAGGTGCTTATAGCTCTTAATGACACTGCAATATTCATTTTGTCCAGAGTGCCTCACGCATCTCCACTAAGGAAAACAACCAAAAATCCAAACAAACTTTTGCTGGATGTAAACAGATGAACTTTATTCCTAATATTTAATGGGCCACACATGCGCTTCCAAGCTGCATTTCTTCCTACATTTATAAAGCATTTATGAAGAGTAAAGTTTTCACTCTGCTAATCAGATATATTTTATGGAAATGTGGTTAAAATGGGGGAGAGGAAAAGCCAAAAACAAGCATCAAATCAGATGTTCTTTGGCCCATATGTAGGACAAAAAACCCAAACCATTTGGATCCACAGCACATCTCAGGAACCACATCCCAAATATATGCTGTCAGATTCTGGCCGACTTAGAAATACATGTATTGCCTGCTTCACAGGCCAGAGGTGGCCAAATCAGTGGGGATTAGGTCTGAATACACATTCTCTCTCCACAGAACTAGTCACTATTTGTACAGCTGGTTGGAAAATTTCTAATGAAATGTTTTTTCATTGGAATTTGCCAATTTGTCAAAATCAAAATGTTCCGCGGAGACAGCTTGATTTCTGTGAAGTTCTGACAGAACTTAGGCAGGATTCTGATGAAACCCTGCCTGGTTTCCTGCCAGCTTGCTTGTGGGCATGCTGGGGAACCCAAGCTTCCAAGTCCTTGGCAGCCCACATTCCCAGGGCTTCCAGGATCTGTGGCTCCGGGGCAGCCTGCCAGGCAGACCCAGGGTCCATTCCCTTTCACAGAGAATTTCAACATTTTTGCTTTTCAATCTGAATTGGAACAAAACCAAATGTCAAAATCCTCCACAAAACAGAATTACTTTTCTCTGCCCAGCTCTAATTCTTTCTATTTCTGTAGGGGCTAAGAACTCCAGTCAAGAATTGGGGTCTTGCTGTGCTAAGCTTAGGCAGACAAGTAACAAAAAAGACAATCCCTGCTGCTTGGAGGTACATCAACAGTAAACGTTGGAATAAGGCCACCTCTGTCCTCCACACTGGCCAGTCTGCCAGTGGAGAAAAAAGGGGCATGAAGATTGGCACTAGGGCCTGTTGGGAGAGCGGCAGTCAGAAGAGCAGAAAAAAGGTCATGTTTTGCAGAGCTTAAGAGGGCTTGCTCTGATTCCAAGCCCTCTGCCTCAGAGGTCTCAGCTCCCTTCAGCACCAACTAGATGGCTGAGCTGGAGAAAGGATACTCATCTGCACCAATGGATCAGCACTTCACCAGTTTCTGATACTAACAGCTAGCTTCCTTAAAAACCCCACTGCCCACAAACACCCACCAATTCCCAACTCTCCTCTTCCTTTAAGAAGGAATTAGTTTCAAACAACCTTTCCTAGCACTTACAGAACAGACCTGGTGTACTCGGTATTTTCCCTGCAGATCACATGTGTGAAGAATCACTCTGTGGTTGTTTCTATCCAAGGAAAGTGGGATACTGTTACATTCACTAGGGAAATGAGCCACTGCATTATACAAATTAGTCCTGCATTATTGGGACGTGCAATGAGGCAACACAATGCTTTTTAAATTACTACACCTTGAAGCATAGTTAATATAGAAAGTAACTCACTTTTTTGTTTATCTCCAGCATTCCAATAAATTTCAGAGGTAGAACTCTGAATACAGCAAGAAAGAATAGCACAGATTGCTGGATGCCTGCCTGGAGAAGAACAGTAACACTGAACTTAGTTATTGTATCTCAGGCAATATTATATGCTACGACATGAAGCTAACAGTATGAAACCGTGATAAATATTGTTCAGAGCTTACAACACCCTGTGAGTTAGGGGAGGATTATCACCTTTTTTTCCCAAGGGGAGACTGAGGCTCAGAGAACTTGTAGTCCTACCCAAAGCCATATGAGGGTCTCTTGACCCGGTTCTGTCCTCTAATCACAAAGTCAGTCATGTTTTCTCTTCTAGTAACATAAAAGAGGAGAGTGTTAACATACCTGCATTAGGTAATGCCACAGGGTCAGCTCACAAAGAATTCTCTCTGAACCTCTGGACCTATCCTGTAAATATTTGGCTATATATACCTCACAACACAGAATGCTTGAGTAAACCTACCTGCTGTGCTGCTGCTGGAAGTTTATGCTGAGCTGACTTGACAACCATAATCTCTTGAGGAGTGTCCCAGCTCAGATACCTATTGGTGATAAAAATGCATTTTTAAATATATTTTTTTTTAGACTTTCTTAAGGCAAACGCACCATTTCACACGAAAAGCTTTTTGTTATAACAAAGGTTATAACACAAGTCAGATCATGTGGATGCCAGAGCAGATCCCAGTATCTGGCCAAGCTCTGCTTGTTAAACCATCTGGGGTAAAGAGTGTTTGGGCACCTGGAGTAGCACAACAGCGATGGAGTTGCTGGCCAAGATCTGGCTCACTTTATCTGGGACAATGAGACAAGCACTATTGCAAGCTCTTAATATATTAAGACTGGCTAATGCACTTTTCCCCTTTCCCTTCATAAACCAGTTTTCTGATTCTGCAGCATAAAAAGGGTCATTTCCTCTGGGAATTGAAAGAAAAGCTTGCAGTTCTCCAGTAGCAGTAATTGCCCTCCTCTTAAATGGAAAAATGGATACTTTGTGCAAAAGAACATTCATAAGTTAAAATTGCCTATTTCTGAATTTATAATATTTTCCTTGTTTTATGAAGTTTGCTTTTCACATCTTAAAAGGTACATTCTGGTATGCTGTTATTGCAATATTAAAAGTTGTAAAATTGGCAGAGAAAAGCCAGTGATAGCCTGATTTTGTGGTTTTCTTTCTTTTCCAGATGAGTTAACTGGAAATGTAGGTGTAAACTCAAGTCCTGAACATTTACAGTGCTGAAGTTTAAAACTTTTCTAAAAGAAAATTCTGTGTGGTAACTGTGCTCACGAAAGATGCCAGATTGAGAGCCTTGAAGTCATCCATAGAGTAGGTACAGCATGGGACCCGCACTGCACGCTGCCATTCATTGCACCAACAACATGCCTTCATTCTGATCTGGAGGATAGTTCACCTCCATGCTATTCAACCACTTGCACCTCCACAGAGTCTGAAAAGAACGGTGTTATTTGCTGATGAGATTTGGGCTTCATCCTTTTCCTGCCATGAATTTGAGAGAAATTTCATCCAGAAAAATGTATTTTACAGACCTCTCTCTAAACAATATAGATTCTGCCCTTCCAAAGTAATAGTGTTAAACAAAGCTTTGTGAATGCATAGGAACAAAATAGCTTGAATATATTACAAGTTAAGTGATTTTCTCCTATAGTACTGCTATAATCATAACTAATTAAAACATTACTTGTAGAAAGCCCAGCCAATAATTAATACCTGAATTTGCAGTAGGGTGGGAGGTATATTTTTTCCAGTATTTCTCCAGTATTAGCAGAGAGACGAAGAAGCCAGTTATGAGCAGTCAAAACTGCAAGAGAAGATTTATAGTCTGGTGGACTGGGAAGCGTTTCCCCCTATATAAAAAGAAGTTATCAGTAAAAAGTTTGAATGTGTACATGAGGAAAGCCATATTGCCTACTTTTTATAGTTTTTAAAGCAAACTATCTGGCCTAGATGGAGATTGGGGCCAGATTTTTGAACACCATCCTCCCTTTTCACACTCACAGTTTGCAGGCACAAATAACTGTGGCACAATTGTTTGTAGGTGAAATTGATATCGCTTAGGCTGAATCTACATGGAGAAATTGACAGGCAAAGTTATTGCAGAATAAGCTATACCAGAATAGCTTCCTATATGGATTCACTTTGTGAGTGGAGTAATTATTCCAGCATAAAGTCACTTTTATTCTGGAATAGAGCATCCACACAAGGAATTATTACAGAATAAATAAATTATAAAGGAATATCTTGTTATTCCAGACAGCTATGCTGGTCAATTTCCCACACACAGACAAGGCCTTAGAAGTCTAACTGCTTGATATTAAGCAGTTGGATGTCATACCAATTGTGCTTACAAAACTGCAGGTTCAAAATAGATGTAAGTAGAGACCAAACACAAAATCACTGTCTTAGTGATGGATGGCGTTTACAAACCCAGACTAAAACACAGATACAATTAAAATGTCCTGCAATAAAAATGAAACATACAGACACAAGAGTGCAACAGTTTTAAAGTACGTGGTAGGACTTCTGGGAGCCGCTAGGGGAAAGATGGATGCATAGTTTTATAACTACCTTTTGCCACCTCCTAAAATCCACAACCAGCAGCAACTGATTCACTTTCCCACCCCCACACCCCATCTAATATTAATCAGATATTCTATAATTCTTTTATTTTAATTTAATACCATTACGGATGCTGTTCCATCTCCAGACTTTCTACAAAATCCTAAAAAGCAGAAGGTGTCAGACAGCCCTTTTGCAGCAAGATGGCCGATGAGGGAGAGGCTGCTCCTCTGAGACTATATGAAATTAGAGACTAGCTAAAACAAATCTCAAGTGATCTATCTTGAGAAAAATATCTGAAGAGATAACTGACATCAAAACTATTACTAGTACATATCAAGCCAATTTGTAAGACTCAGCATCAACACTAGAGAAAGCTGAAAACAGAATCTCCTCAGTAGAAGACACAGTGAGTACAGGTCTGTCTCATCTTACGCTGGGGTTACGTTCCGCAGTCAGCGCGTAAAGCGAAAACCGCGTATAGTCAAAATTACATTGAGTTCAATGGCGGGTGGAATCGCCAGCACTACAAGTACAGTAATAAAATTGTTATTTTTCTCTTTCTTTGTTTTGTTTTTGCTGACCGCGTAAAGCTGAAATTGCGCATGTTAAATGCGCGTAAGATGCGACAGACCTGTACTATGAATATAACCTCAGAGCAACAGGAAAGGACTACTAAAACACTGCAGGAGAAGGTTAATGATCTCGAGGGAAGATCAAGGAGAAAAATATCTGAGAATTGTGGGTCTCCAAGATGGGTTGGCAAAAGGGAAGCTTGTGGAATTTTTATTTACCATGTTGCCAGCTCTTTTTGTCTCTCCCCCCCAATCAAAGTTAAATATTGAGATAGTCCATTGCTCATTTGTGCAAAAATCCACTCCAGATACAAAACACCAGGCCATGACTAAGATTTTTAAAATACAGTTTTAAGGAACTCATTTTTAAAAAAGAACTTAAGAATCTAACGTGGAAGGGACACAGGCTGATGACTACACCAAGGATGTAGTGAAGAGAGCTAAATTTAACAGATCTGTAGCCAAAGGATTGGGTTTGGACTACTTCATTTCCTTCCCTTCTACTTTCAAAGTTAAAAAGGAGGGCAAGATGGTTTTATGACAGCAGAAGAAGTTGAAAGGTGTCTGATCTCACTACAGCAAAAAAAAACCCCAAAAAACCCCCTGTAAAAGATACAGATGGGATGCATTAAAACAACTTTACCAGATCAGTCACTGCAGTGGTGGAATTTAGTTCTCAGTCTAACAAAACAATTGTAAAGGACAAGTCCACCATTTTGTCCCCTTACTTTTCATTTCTTTGAACTTCTGTGGTTCATCAGCAGAGGGGGCTGGCTGGGAAGTGAATGGCTGGGAAGAAGGATCTCATCTCTGATTTGAATTCTGACCCTCCATCCAAACTCAAGAAACCACTATGTACTCCACCTGCTGCTGTGAGCAGGTTGGAGTGTTACAATATGGACACACCTGCTTTGCTTGCATCCACCCTATCCCATGCCCCTCATTAATCCAGTGTACCAGGAGCATATTCACATTCAAGACCCTCACTCCAACCAAATTGCTTAACTGGACCCGTGCACTCCTTACACCCGTGGATCGGTTAAGCTTCCACAGAGAAGCATGGTTTTGTTTTCTGTCTGAGGCACTCTTGCTCCTGATATCTTTTCCAACCCCTCCCCACCTTTTTTCATTTTTAAAATCTTCCCCCCCTTTCCCCTTCCTTGATAATTTTGTTTCATCCCCATCTGATTTCCTAGATTTTGGGTTTATAATAAATCTGGAAATATTCAATCCATTTGCCCTAAATGTACACTTATAAGAGATATCAGATCTAAATAGTGTAATGAAGATTTCAGTTGAATGATGAACTGTTTCAATTCCCCAACTGTAAAGAAATTTGATCTCCTAAAATCCTATCCAAGAATAATAATTATTATTGTTTTTTATGATTCACCAAATTACTGAGAATGTTATTATGACACTGTTGTATGCAGTGTAGTTGTAGTCGTCTGTTTTTTCCCCAGTAATATTAGTTCAGTTTTTTTCTTTAGTTTTTATTTTTGTTAGAGTTGAAAAAAATGTTATGCTGATTTACATGGGTGACTATGGAGTTTACACTATAGTCCAGCGTGGACAAGGCTCCAGAGGAAAAGTTTAGGCAAAACTGTTCTGCTAATGAACCCTTATCTGCAAATGATCCAGTTAGGTTGGAATAAGGTTGTTTAAACAATTTGTATAACTTTTTCTTATATATCCACTATAGACTTGTTCTTAAATTGAGACAGTAGCCTTCTTCACCCTTTTTTGTTGTTGGGAATAGAGCAGAAACCATGCCCTCCCTTGATATGAGACTATTTCTCCTTTATAAAATTAAAGGGAATCCAGTTATGCCCCAGTTTGACGTTTTGAGTGGTGGGGGGAATGAGTGATGAGGCCACTCTTCATATCCCCAGGGCGGTGAGGAGGAATCCAGAAACGCAGCCCAAGCAATGACACTATTCAGCCACCTGATAAAAAGATATTTGACCTAAGCACACCTTATGGCTAATATTATAAACTATGTTTCCTGGAACATCAGAGGGGCTAATCATCTTATAAAAAGAAAAGTTGTCACTCATCTTAGAACATTAAAAGCAGATATCTTCCTACAAGAAACCCACGAAATGACTTGGAGGCAGAGACATTTAGGATGGGTGGAAGGGTGCTGAACAAGTTCTCCTCTGCAGCCAAACATGTAGCAATATTCAGGTTTCAGAGTAGCAGCCGTGTTAGTCTGTATCCGCAAAAAGAACAGGAGTACATGTGGCACCTTAGAGACTAATAAATTTGTTAGTCTCTAAGGTGACACAAGTACTCCTGTTCTTTTTATGTAGCAATATTGTTTCATAAAAGACTCACTTTACAAATTCTAGATGTAAATGAAGATCAGGAAGGTAATTGTTGTTGGTGAAGGCTATGACCTCTGACTCTATATATACCCATTGATGTATGTGGACCCAATAAACTATAACAGGGTTCAAAAAAGAACTAGATCAATTCATGGAGTATAGTCCATCAATGGCTATTAGCCAGGATGGGCAGGGATGGTGTCTCTAGCCTCTGTTTGCCAGAACCTGGGAATGGGCGACGGGCTGGATCACTTGATGATTACCTGTTCTGTTCTGTTCATTCCCCCTGAGGTACCTGGCATTGGCCACTGTTGGAAGACAGGATACTGGGCTAGATGGACCTTTGGTCTGAACCAGTATGGCCATTCTCATGTTCTTATGTTCTTAATAAAGATGCTCCACTTTTTAAAAACACTTTCCCCCGAAAATTAATTAATATGCCATTAGAATCAATCATCCTCACAGGAGATCTTAATGATGTATTGGACCCTTTTTTTAGACAAATCAGGCCATCCTCAACATACACAATCACATACTAGAAATATTATAAAAGATTATAAGGAAAAATTGGGGTTAAAAGATGTATGGTGGTTACGGAACCCTTGGATGAAGGATTTTACTTTTTTTTCCCTCTTTGCAGTCCACATATTCACAAATAGATTACTTCCTGATTTCTATGAATCTGGTAGACTCATATAATGAAATCAAGTCTATTATGATCACTTATCATGCACCAGGATGCTACGCCTCCCAAGACAAACTGGACTTGTAAAGATAGATACTGAACTCCGCTCTTGTGAAACATAAACATTTTCAGAACTATGTCACAGAAGAAATTCAGTTTTTTTCCTAAACAAATGACCCACCAGAGAGATCCCAATCCACCCTATGTGATACACTAAAAGCTTTTATTAGGGGCAGGATTATTTCCTATTTAGCAGGTAGGAAGAGGGCTAGCCAGGTTCAGGTCCTAGAATTAACCAAACAACTTAAAGCTATGGACATAGAATGTGCAAACTAGTCCTACCACGAAAATCTTTAAAAATTAATCAATCTTTGGTAAGAAGTAAATAGATCGATTTCAGCACAAGCCCCCAATTTGCTCTTTTTAGACTCACACAAGACATAATGGGAGTCAGGGGTAAGACTGGGGAAAATTCTCACATACAGATTAAAAGTAAGCAGTCAAAAGTCCCAAATACTATCACTCAAATCATAACAAGGACAGGTTATTACTAATCAAAAAGAGATCAATGCTCAATTTTTGAAATTCTACCAGGCTCTTTACAATAATGATTCACCACCTGACCCAGAAGAACTAAATAATTTTATTAAAGCTCTTAACTGCCCACAATCTCATAAGAACAGCAGACCAGGCTGGCCTTT